GAGAGAGGGAGTTGTCCCACTGTGTGTGTGTGTTTACTATGTCCCGAACTTACGCGTGCGAGGGTTTTCCTACCGTCGCTCAGACGCCTTCCCACCCCGTGTGAGCGAGGGTTTTCCTACCGTCGCTCAGACGCCTTCCCACCCCGTGTGAGTATGCAAATCACTATCTCGCTTAAATCTGATACATAATCAGAAGAACACAAAGACGGCGCACCCACCCTCTATACAAATTATTTATTTAAAATTAGTCAAGTCCTATTTGATCATTAAAGAGTCCCGCTAAAACTTTGGTACCGTGTGAAGCCTTCTCAAAATCGCAAAAAAAAATTAAAATGCATACTCCCAAAGAGTATACAAGCGAATATTCGTTTTGAGATACCAGTGCGCGGCTTCCCTCCGTTCCGGGAAACCGTTGCTAAAACTGGCACGTAGAGTAGCAAGGTCAAGAACACGGGAGTGTAGTGAGTGGAGCTAAGGCAGGGCCGCGTACTGAAAATGCGAGGGGTCGGGAGGGGGACTGGGGAGGGGGTGGGGTGGCGAGGAGCTCGGCGAGGAGGCGCCCAACAACTACAAGTCATTCGGATGCCAATACTTTTTTTCAGGATTTGGGTCAGCCCAATCGGGCCGGGACCCGGGACCTTTGTGGACCTGCCAGACCAGCCGGGCACACTGTGCGCGCGGCGGAACTGTGGGGACCAGCCGCGAGGTAAAAGCCAGAGCTTGGTTAGTCATTTAGCGCGCTGCAAAGCAGGCTATGACATTACCAAAGAGTCGCAAAGAGTCTTATTAGGAATAAACGCGACGCTCAGTTCTCAGAAACCGGAGCAAACAGCTTGGAAACATGCAGTGCGCTTCAATATACCTACACCGGTTTTCCAACCAGTCTCCTTCTGCTTGGGGCGCGAAGGAGCTGCTTGAAGTATGAGCGGAGTCCAGGGTGAGGGGCTCCGCGGAGACCTTCACGGAGCCGCGAGCAGCCGAGTCAGCGCTGGTCAAAGTTTTAGTCACTTTCTTATTTCAAAGAATTTTACGCAGGGCTCAGGGTTGACTGACTGGAGGACGAAAGTGAGGCACAGGGAGACAGCAGGCTGTAGAGGAAGAGAGAGAGAGAGAGAGAGAGAGAGAGGGAGAGAGAGAGAGAGAGAGAGAGAGAGAGAGAGAGAGAGAGAGAGAGAGAGCTGACTGAATTGCCTCCCGTGAGCCATCAATCACCGTCCTCGTCATTATGAGTCTCTTTCAGAAAAGGAGCAGAATATTAGTGATATTATTTTGTTGGCGCCATTAATGAGCCACTCCGGGGTCGGAGGGGGG